GACAATTATAAGTGCTTCGACGTATTGAAACATTCGGTCGGGTTTGGGGGGCCTTGCGCTGTTTCTGTGAGGACCATTAATACCAAGACTTGAATCCCTCCCTGCTGCATGAGCGCTGAGGAGCGCAGGAGTGATCAAGCAGCACCGTCGCCAAGCCAATTCGTCCATGTTCATGCTGCAGACTGACATCCACCGCGAGGATTCCTCGCCCTGGGTCCTACGCCCTTGTTCCAAAATCAATTTGACCTAGTCCCTATGCGGACAGCATCTTGAGATTAGGACTGGCAGTCGTTGTGCGTGAAGCCTAGAAGTGCGGTTATAAGGGAACAAAGAAGGGAGTCGATGAGATACGACAAGCAGGAGATCATCGTCGCGTACAACTGATACACGATGCGTCGTGCTTCTGGTGGTAAAGACATTGGTGAACTAAGTACTTGCGTATTAACGCAGCTGGAATGAGCCAGATGCTTGATATTAGTGTACTTCTTAGAACGATCTCATATTCCAAGCAGCCCGCGCCTCCCGTGCGACACCCCTCATCCTTCCAAACGAGGATCTGAGCTTTTTTTGATGCTGAGAATGCCTCCCATATCACGGGTAATTTTACTTTCACTTGGACTTTGGTCACGAGAGGGGTATCCCATGTTTGCCGAGTCGATATTCTAGGCAAATCGGCCGAGCTGCTATTAGTGAGATGTCTTGAACACTGCCTTTCTTGCGGCCGAGTTTGTTTGACTCTGAACTTTGTACACCAACAGACCTCGAAAATCACACTCCAGAGTTGTGAACATCAAGAAGAGTACGAAGTACTCACGGATAGGGCGACCGTCACCATGGCAAGCGACGCCTTTCCAGTGGAATGGGACAAATTCATCAAGACGCGCCAATAATTAGTGGCCTGCTTAATCTAGTTCAATGTACAAATTACAAGGTTGACTGGCACATGAACTGCCCTCGAAATTCCACACAGTCCATCCTGTACCAATTGTACACCACTGTGTACTTGTACTTCTCGAGGGCAGGCAGCCGCTGGGCACGCCGAGCGGTCCGTTCAGTGGGCTGTCTGCGCCGGGAGCACCGCATGCACCGTCTCAGATCGGCAGAAGCTGTGCTGGATCCAGAAAGCAAAGAAAAAAAAATACGCCCCATTTTCATTGCCTCTCTGGCTTGTTTAACACAGGCTGTCTTGTGCTCGTTTCCGAGCCGCCTGACTACCCGTCCAACGAGGGATGAGAAGAGGGGGCAGAGCAGGACACGCTATCTCCTTCGTCTGACAAAAGTGGCTTGTTGTCCGCAGCTCAGAAACTGGCCATGCTCATGACTAGGCTGCGACTTTTGAGGCGAACTTTGCGGGCGAAGTGTGTACGAATATGCTGGGGCAAGGGTCTGGAAGGGTGACGAGCCGAACTTCACAAGCCCAACAACCAAGCTGCTTGCGGATGAAGCCAAAAGCCCCAGAGGCACACACACGCACGCTAGACAGGAAAGAGACTGGTCCATCACCGTCCCCTTCTTCCCTCTTCCTTGCCTGATGCCTTCCCCCTCCCTTCTCCCTCGCTGCCATCCAGTGGAACTGAGGGACATGCAAAGATGAAATTACTTCCTGCTTTTGAGGAAAGGTACGGAAATGCAAATCCATCTGCGCACTCAGCCGTCTAGGATCTCCCAAGCTAGCCCAGCTCTTTGGCCGGGATTGAGCGTAACCTTGGATAATACGAGCCAGGGGAAGGAGGGATTAATACTGGCTGACGATACAGGTACGAATCTATGGATGGCTGTTGGAACATGGCAGAGAGCACAAATCAATCTCTCTTTTGGCCCCCATCCGAGAGCACAGAACCACTTTCAACAGAAATTGTTGGTACGAAGTAAATGAAGAGGGGCTTCTCGTGGCTATGTATCTCTTCTCAAGGACGATTGATCAAATGTGCGAAGTATGATTCAAATAATCCACTCGACTCGTCGAAAAGGTTTGCGATAGAGTGGTGCTCCGGCACACTATTGGATCCACCCTCCAGCACTCAGAACATTCAAATGTTACTGCTGAATGGGGTGGACCTTGGCCAGTGTTGTCTAACACCAAACTGGTACTCCCGGACATCAGCACAAGCGACATCCGACTTCAACAATCGTTACGCTTCCATTGTTGCTCTGGATGAATGGGCTCGGATGCACAATATGACGGGTTTGCTTCATCATCATACTACAAAGTGAACTATTGATGGACGTCTTTTGCGAGGCGGACCCAACAACGCAGAGTTGCGGCCAAATATTGCGTGTTGAATATTATTGATGGGATTTTACTTTGGCAGTAAATTGTTAGTCGCTGACAGGTAAAGCAGCATGAATAATAGCCACCGTCTGTCCAGGCAACGGGCGGCGATATGTGCAATTCTGGGACTAACTAGGAGTCAGGACGGTTGTGGAGGGGGGACGTTCAATGTCCCTCTCTTGTCTTCAGGCACTGTAGGAGTACTTGTACGAAGTACATCACGCATCAATGATCCAAATGGAAGTGCTACGACTAGTACCGAAGCTTCTAAAAGTTTCCCATCGACAACATTTGAAGTATTACAAACTATGCCCATGGACCCGTCCGCTTCTTTCTTCTTCTTTTTTTTTTTTTTTTTTTGTTTCCCTGCCTTCGCAATCCGCCGGCTGGTGGTCCGCCTCTGCAAGACGGTCGAGCTAGCCTCATGTCAGGAGAGGCGCTGATACGACCAAGAGGAAAGGAAAGAGGCCTCAGTTGTCGCTTCGCCATGCTATCTGATGCTGTGTGCAAAGGTGTGGGGATCGTCGGAATGAGGATGTATACTTCGTAATTACTTTGTCGACATCAGATCCCGAGGGAAATTAGCAAGTACCTCAGCCAGGCTCGTCTCCATTCCAAGCCCAGTGAAAAAGGCCAAGCCGCTTAGGCGTCGCTTCACGCCTGCTGAAGCTCGAGGCCCGAAGCAGCAACGATCCCACATTCCCATAATAACACATGACGGTGCAGCTTTAACACTGTGACGGCCTGAGTCAAGTACTGCGACTGTTTCTGAGGAACATGCAGGCCGCAAAGCGGGATAAAATTGCTTACTTTTCCCAGATATTCAAATTGTTAAGACCTAAAGCAACACTAGATCCCACCAGCCCGTCCCGTTACACCTTGTATCTGTGACAAGCCCCACGACCGCCGTTCACCTAGCGACACGGTGAGCCTAGCCTCTTGGTCCGCCTGCCGCTACGCTGGCTGGCAACCCTGTCTGTCTCCCTCTCAGAGCGACCGTGAAGTCCCGACTGGATGAAGTATCCTCAGTTACTTCGTACCTGTAATACAATCGTCAATGGAGACTCTCGGCCACCATGATTACGATTGCACTCACCTGCACAGTGCAGCATACTGTAATCCCTCGCAGAAGACACAAAGTACCTGGATACCTAGATACCTGGGCCTCTTTTCCCTCCTACGTGTTATCCACACACCTCTCCAATCCCAAATCCTGCCCGCTTTCAACACTCGGACTTTCAGCATTCGCTGCAAATGTCATGGTGACTCTCCCATGCCAACTTTCAAACACCCCCCTTCCCAATAGACGCCCCCTTTCAACCCGCTAACAAAGCCCGTGGAGACGAAACTTATGGGACCTCTGCGAAAGTAGGGGAGGGTCCATGAGTTTAGAGAACCCACCCTGGCTTTCCCCAAAGCTCATGTGCACTCCAGCCGACAGGCGTCAAGGTACGTAGTAAATGGATAGTTTACAAAGCACACCAAGAGGTACAACGCCTCCGGGTTTGTCTTCCGTAACTCCCATGCCGGGTGCCTCCAGCGTCAAGTGTGGAATCGAATGTGAGTTCCCATTTGACCTCTTTCTTCCAACTCAAGTCGGGCATATTCTTGCACTACTTCGTACTCTCGCCGAAGAAGTGGTACTCCGTACCCTAGACAACTGAGGGACAGTCAACGACATGGCATCGACTGACCAGGTCTCTTCTTTCCCCTTCTCGTGCTCCTGGACGGAGCATTTCTTGTAAACTTTGGCGTTGGATAGTGTGCGTATGTGTGTATCTGTGTGGGTGCATGAGCATGTAGTTTATGTTTGTGCGTATGGATAGGATTAAAAGAGAGGGCGACTTAGAGTGTGTAGGCTACATAGTATTAGTGTAGACTCGTCGTACTTAGTAGCTCTCCGTCCGGTGTTTATACTTGTACTGCCCAGCACTCCTCGAAGAGCTACCCGCCTTAATGTATCAGATGTACATACAGCATCCCATTTACATGCCGCTTCAAACCACCATCCATTCTTCAACTTCGTTCCTGCCTTCCATTTCTCTCTTGTGGTTTTTATACTCCCTCGCTCCTTCCGTCTTTCTCATGGTTATTCAGTTGCTGGTTTATTGACTTGAACCAGACCTCTGCTTGCTCAAATCTGGAAACAACACAGGAACATCTACCAGTGGACTAACAAAAGGCACCACCTGCCTTCCCCAGTCGATCCTTTCCCTCCCACTCTCCCAGTCGATAGACATTCCAGCCAGTCCCAGCAGGTGCGATCCGACAACCAGACGAGCTTTCTACTCTTCACACTCCTTTCTCCTTTTGAACTCGACAGCCTCTCTTCGACCTTTTTCTCCGCTCCTCTCCTCAACTATCCTCCCACACCTGTTCTCACCAAGAGCCTGAGTGCTTGACTTGTTGGAGCTGTAAGGGTTTCTTATAGAGCTCATCTACCACGACCAGAGCCCATTCTCCTCTTTTCAAAACAACAACCACCTTTACCTACCACCAGAGCCAGTCTCAAAATTCGATGTTCTCCCCAGAAAACCCTACTACTCCCAACTGAAATCCTCCCGGTGTGGAGGGAGCTGACCCAAGGAAAGTGCGTCTAACTGAAGTTCAAATCAAAAGGCTCCTTCCCAGAACCAGGACATGGCACTCTACTGGCTCTGGCTTTGTTTTTGCCAATGCAATCTTTTAGTTACTAACTATTCTACAGTTCACAACAGCTCCTATCCCCATGTGCTCCATCACGACAGATCTTCCCAATATAAATCTTCCCTCGCCACCTGCACAAACGAATTGGTCGTGCAGGCAGAGAGCTACGCTCTCTTCGAAACCCCCACCTTCGTCAAACCACTACGATAGTGATAGTTCTCGATTCCTGGAGGGCGGTGGGTTTCAACAAGGCAACGGCCACAGCTTCTCCTTCAGCGGTCTTAAGACCCCGCCGACCGACGACATGAGCGCCGCTTGCCATCAACCTCCGCTGGGATACGATACCCATGCCTTCCCTCAAGTCCGCCCAGCATCCGAATCGACGGTACAAGCCCAACGATACCGATCTTACGCTCCTCAGCAACACCAGGCGCCCCATACCTCTCGACAACCGTCACGACTCCCACCCCTAGTCCATTCCGATACTCCAAGTTCCCAAGCCCAGTTGACACCCGCTTCGTCTAACTCGGGCCAGCGATCCCACCCGAGCGCCCACACCCTTTTGTCCAACGCACAGCAGAGACCTCGGTCCACCACGCCACGAACCGATGTCCCGATTACACAATCCAGAACCAAGGAGAGCAAGGCCCTATCGCTAACGGGCCAGAGCAACGAACTCCCCGACTTCATCTGCGCCCAGGGAGGCTCCTTGCCCGATCTTGTAGCTCAGGTACGTGCTACAACCGGAAGAAGACTTCCACCTCTGCTGCATTTGATCGCTCCCCGTTGCCTTCGCTGGTGTATTTTACGTTGGGTAGGATATCCGCTGATAGATTTTTTGGGTCTAGTTAACTTGCTTCTTCTGGTTCGAACCAATTGACGTTCTCAAGGCCGCGGGCAAGTTCCGAACGAACAAGACGACGGTGCGGCGACTTTCTTCCGAGTCGATCCCAGATGCCACGTTCACGAAATGGGTGAACACCATCCTCAACACCACACAGGTGACGCGAAATGTCATCTTGTTAGCCCTCCTCTTTATCTACCGACTTAAGACCACGAATCCCACGGTAAGGGGCCGATCGGGAAGCGAATATCGATTGTTGACCGTCGCTCTGATGCTGGGCAATAAGTGTAAGTCGGGAGGCTCTACTCTCTTCCGCCCCACCCTTCTTCAACGTCAGAAAGCTAATGCCAGTTCCTGCAGTTCTTGATGATAATACGTATACCAACAAGACTTGGGCTGATGTGTCATATCTCTCGGTTTCCGACATTCACCTTATGGAGGTTGAGTTTTTGAGCAACATGCGATACAGTCTAATGACAACGGCAGATGAGTGGGATGAATGGTTGGACAAAATGGGATCTTTTCACGACTACTACGAAGCGGCCCTTAGTCTGCCCGCCCCCACGCCACTCAAGTTGTCGATCCCGTCACCCACCGCGCCTCTATACTCATCTCCGTTACCCTCTCCGACCGCTTACGGAAACGGAATGATTCCTTATGCGGCGAACGGCATGCCTTCGGCCAATGGCCATAACTGGGTTCCAGTCTCATCACCTATGGGGAACAGGCCCAATCTCAAGATGACGAGCACGAGGAAGAGAAGCGTTGACACGGATTTGACGGAGCCACCGGCTAAGCGCATATCCCACGGACCCTACTCGATGCCCTCGATTCCACGAGCTCCAATCACGTCAATGAACTCGGTCGCGATCGCACCTACTGCCGCGGAATCTGCTCGTCGCCCAGCGCAAGTGCCAACGCTCACCATCAACACGCAGGCGATGCCGGCTCAGGTGCCCCTGCAGTATGGTCAGGCTATCTCAACTCCGACAGCGACCCAGCCCTCGATGTCGCTGCCGCCCTTGGTCCCTGGTGTCCGCGCCATGGCCACGGTCTATTCGCAAGCCCCAGTCACGGCACCTAGTCTTAACCCTGCTGCTCCCTCGTTCGCTCCGCAGCTGCCAACACCCCATTCCGGAATGTCGGGCCAGACGGCGTACTTGGTGCCCCAGCAACCTCCAGCTCAACAACTGCAACAAATGCATCAGCCACAGAATCAGGCCCGTCATGCTCCTACGATGACGTTCACGACTCCGACCAAGACTCAGAGCCACGCCCCGCACGCCGGAGTTTACAACTCATCGCCGCTTTCGGAGGCATACCATACGCCTGGCATTCACACGCCCATCTCACATTCGCCGAGCGTCTATCTCCAGCAGCGACCGAGCCCGTATAAGCCTGTTCGACACGTCAACACGCTTCTCTACCCCCCGCCTTCGGCTTCTCTCGAAGAGTACCATCTCGCGGTGCCGCCTCATCAAATTCACTACCACCCCCTCGGACGACGGAACGATTTGCGGACTGGTATTGTGCCGGACTTCATGCCGTATCGTGGAGGATATCAGACTCCTACTCCTGCCAGCGAGCCTCGTTACCAGTGAACCCTGTATGAAACGCGGAACCTTCTTTCTCTTATGATTGTTTGTAAAGCGGTATCCGAGTCGTCTATTAATCCCTTCCGGCCTCTTTGATTTTGTTTGCGCACTTGTCAATTGTCTCTTCTTTTCTTTTTCTTACATGGACTTCGGTTTTCCCTAGAATCACGGCATCTGCATCAAATGGCATTGCATGGCATGGCATTGTCCCGGAGGCGTTTTCAATTTCATTTTTATGCTGTTACAACAAACATAGTTCCCTTTCACTGCGATGCTTTTCCGCTTTTTTTTTTTTTCTTTTTTCTTTTTTTTTTCTTCCCCGCTCTAACCTTCAGTGACATTCAGCACAGTTACTGAAATTAGAGGATCAGGAGGCTGGACATTTGTTAAAGAGGTTCAGGTATGATATGCGCTAGGACTCAGCACTGGCCGGATACAAGAGATCAATGGATAGTCGGAAACGGATACCTTTGCTTATATGGGGCCTCATGTTTTGGAGAGCCCAGCTGTTCTTTTTGCTAGACATCTTGTTTGTATCTCAAACAAAGCATTGCATTCACTGGAGTTTGGCAGGAAAGGGATCAAACGGATCTGGAAGCCATAAATATCAATAAGCGCATTGTCTCGTTCTGGCGCAGTTAATGCTGTGGCCCCTTTTGTTTGCCTCCACTTCTGCTATTTGCGATTGATCAAGTCGTATATTAAACTCTACCAAAATGTCGTGGCAGGGATACTTACTTGGACTATGAAACAAAATACTTCTTTGACGGAACATGTGGTTTTGTATTCTCTGAAAGAAGGCAGGGCTGGGGTGAGGTCAGGGAGAGACACTTGGTGGAGGTCGAAGGTCTGTCTGGACGTTGGCCTCGAATAGATTTCTCTACCCCCTTCAGGCGCGTTTTCAATGTTCCAAAATAACGTTCGATGGAGGTGTCGAGGGTGCCGTTTTTGGGTGGCAGGTGGGTGCCATTTTCGGCACCCTCGAATACCTTGACAAAGTACACCTATTGGATAATTTAGGTACATGCCTTGGTCCCCAGTATAGGATCTGTACTGCATGCAAAGCCAAGATGTCCGCAAACCTGGCGCACGACCACACACCAGAATCCAGGCGACGGGCACCAGGCGACACCAGAATCCACGAGACAGGCAACAGATATATTAGTTTGGGAGGCACCTCTCAGTAGCACTACATTACTAAAAATGTGGGACCACATAGAGAATAGCCACCTTTCCCCTCTGAACGGCCATTCCATACCTTGCCCTTACAAAGACAGATCTTTTCATTACAGGCATCCCATCAAGAGCCACATATATCATAAGCATAAGGTCTATTTACAATCAGATAAGGAGGAACCAGGCTCCAAAACAAGGTCTAACAATGTCTCGGGCTGGACGCCGACGATTATAGTGACCCGCAGAGAAGAAAGAAGTGTCTCCGACAGCAGTTCCCAGCCATCACCCAGAGTAAAGATTACTCTTACAGTTAAAACGGGCGTGAAGTCACCAGTGGGCAGTGCCGTAGCACCTCGGAAACTAGTCACACCTATAGTATTAGAGAATCAGGCACTGCAGCATAGTTCAAGGATACACAAGCATCACAGGGAAAGCAGGACCTCAGGAGACAGCTCTACATTATCATCATCTCCAGCAAAGATTATTCTTAAAGTTAAATCACTCTGCACACCAAAAACAGTCAAGAGAATACAAGAAGAAGACCTAGAGGCACCCTATACAAAAAGGGTTAAGAGAGGAGAAGATCTAGAGTTACTCTACACATCAAAAACAGCAACGAAAATAGTTCTCAAATATAAGAAGATTTAAGATAGGTTAATCAATATATTTACAAAGCTTTATATAAACCCATTTTGCTACGCAACTAAAAAATACTTCCTTTCCATATCATCCATTTAATCAGCAGAAGCCGAGCTATTATAGCCTCACTGCAGATTCTTAGCTCGATAGCTAACGAAAGCTCGTCCACCACAGCCAATCCCGTGGCAAGCAACGTTACTCAATATAAGGAGTGAACGCGCCCGAAGAAACACGCAAACAAAAGCCAGTTCAAGCAACCATTTCCATATCTACATACAATACACAGCATAAAGTCTCCCATACCTTTTTCTCTTTTCCCTAATTTACTAGAGGTTAATTTTTTATTACTCGAATCATCTAGAATTACAACATCCAGCAGTCGGAAGACGATATCCCCGACCGCGAGAAGTCAGCTGTGGACTAGGACTTTGCTAGCAACATACCTGGCCTGGAATATTCCCCAGCCGAAATACAACCCTTTTACGGAGACTCGCCCCACACAGCTGTGGAAGAAGTGGACGAATGGATGAATCGACTGAGAGAAGAGAAGACGAAGGCGGAGACGGCTGCTTCTTTGGGTGATGGCTGAGGGCCGATTCTTGACATCAACGCCTCGGAGAACCGACGTCACGATCAGGGGAGGACGAGGCATGTCCTTACTCAGTGAATGGGACTACAGCGGCGGTGATGGGGGGAGGAATGGGAATGCACACTACGGGCGCGAGTACAAAGGGAGGCGAGACGGCTGATCGCAGCGAAGGTTGATGATTTGTGCGCGCCGCTGGCGAGACCCATGGTTCTAACCCAAGCACAGTTCATCATGGCTCATGAGCGCAAAGGCGGCCCGATCATATCGACGTGGCTATTGTGGATGAGCTATGGGTGTGGACGTTGATGACAGGGAAGAGCGAGTGGGAGAACTGACGTAACCCAATGAGCCGCGGAACGTCCAGGCTCAGCTCCCGCGTGCGACGCGTGTGCGGCCGCTCCGTCCTTCCATGTTGATTGGGCTGTTTGAAGCTGACGTTGTCTGTGAATTCTTCTCTAAGGTGCGATGCTTGAAAGTAGATAAGCTTCGTCAAGGTCTGTAGGTTGCCAATGGTCTTCAGGGTCATCTGCCACAGCCCTTTGTTATCGAGATATTCGGTGATGAGAACAATGCGGAAGAAAGAGAGGCGATGGGGCTGGTGACTAAACCACTCTACCACACTAACTAGAAGTTTGCGGGTAACAGTCATCTCCCCCAGCTGCAGATCGGTGACGCTATCGAAAGTTTGGCTGTTTCCCTATGAGCGTGTTCATGATGGCCTTGCAGCTGCCCGGCTGGGACCGGACCATGTTGAGACGCAAGACTTTCAGGTTGGTGTGACTCAGAAATGCTACCGCGTATTTGACAGCGGCGGAAAGGGGCGTTGCGAGGGCCAGGTCTATGGCGAGTATGAGGTTCTCGAGGTTCTCAAGCAGCGGCGTCACAACCGTAAGCAGCGACTGGAATAAGTCGAAATTAAAAACGGCAACTCCTTCGCCGGTTTCTCTGCTCCTGTTAACTCGACGTCTTCCTCACCAAAGCCGCCCAGGACGCTATACACGGCCGCGGTGTGGCCTATCGCCTTCCTCGAACCAGCTTGACTCTGTATTCCCTGGATCATCTTCTCCCTTTCTTCAAGAACTTGCTGAGATCTCTAATTGACTTCCTCCCAGGTTCACCAGGACGTCCATCTATATGATCTTGATGCAATATTCGCTTCTTCCGCCTCGTTGAGTAACAGCAGTATAATACCTTTTGTCAACGTTTGCTGCGGGTTTCATCAAACGCTTGAAGGTCCTCCCTCGCAGGCTCTCCTCCCAAGTACTGTTCCTGTCAAAGGCCCACATCATCCCAACTCGACGGAACACGCCTCTCTCCGTTCCCGCTGGGAGAAGCAACAGGGATCTGAGATACACGTGCAGGCTCGAGATCGTGCTCTCGTTCATGATTCGGATCGGCATGTAAAAGTATTCTCGACCCTCGTCAGCTGTCGTGGCGTAGCCAGCTCGTATCTGCACGAATCCAGGGCTGCGCACGTTCACGCAGTCGCTTCCTTCGGCATCCCAAGAGATTGCCACTTCTTGTTCTTCCTCGCTTCCGGGGCGTCGCTTCGGTACACTGGCCGCTTCCTGGGAAAAACCCTGCTTCGACAACCGGATGACGCCCAGAGGGCCGGCAATTTTGAGCCATCCGCCGCTGACAGCTCCGAAGGGGTTACGACTGGAAGCTGGCGACACTTGAGCCTCTACCACTTTCGCTAGAAACTCCGTGTCGAGGAACTTTGGATTCATGTCCCAGCGGAATATGGAAACCCCTCCTTCGACCGACGCCCAAGACCACGAGGGAGCAAGGTACGTCGTGTTGCGGCGTCTCAACTGTGTGGAATTTGTCACAGTCCATAGCAGCTGGTGCTCCAGGTCTTGCCTCCATAGACCCGCCAGGTAGTCGCATCTCATATGAGCACTCATCTCAGTAGCAAGCCCAGAGATTGCAACCAGTTTGTCGGATGCAAAGGTAAGGTTCGCCTTGGAGAAGCGCTCGATGATGCCAACCCAGCGGTTCAGCCCAGCAGGCATGCCCCAGTTGCAGTCTTGCGAGCGGAGCATCCGCGCCCGGAACTTGATTGCATCCCGGCGCTGACGATCGCTGCCGACTTCGGTCCACCCTCCGTCGTCTTCGGACGCTACTGTTGGAGATACAGGACGAACCCACTGCTGGTCATTCTCGCTCCAGCTCATCGTTAGGCTCGCATTGGGATGTATGAAGACCTTGGACGCCCCGGAACTGCGCATGCCGTGGGGTATGCCGTTGGGCAGGATCTCGCAGGCCGTGAGGGACGGGCACTCCCAGAAGAGTTGCGACGACCCAAAATGCAGGGTTCGCACTGAGAGTGCCCTCTCCTGGACGACCCAGCCGCGTTGGTTCAGAGGCGCGGTTTCGACGCCGTCTTGCCACATGTCGAAATCGACTAGGTAGTAGTCTCCCTTCCCCACTTCGAGGTTGCCGTTCTGGTCACGCGCGTCGCGCGGTACCCGAATCTTGATGGGTTCCAGCTGCTTGGGGTCCCGCTGCACGCACAAGCCGTGTGAGCCGTCGGGAAATCCGGTGGCGGCGAGGTTGCAGAAGCCGTTCCGGTAGATAGCGCCCATGGCGGCCGACTCGCGCGCCCAGTCGGCGGACGAGTCCTGGATGATGCACAGCGAGTCTATCCAGATGAACTCCAGGCCCCAGCGGCGCGCCAGGTTGATAGCGTGTTGGAACGCCCTTGGAAAAGCCGATCTCGGTATCGAGGACTTGGCGCTTTCGTAGTTTCGCTGCAGCAGCCGGCAGGTCAGGTTGGAGCCCCAGCAATGGCTCAGCGTTGCATACTTGACTGAGCGGTCCAGGTCTTTTGTCTCCCGGAGGCGCATATGAGGCTCTTGAACAGTGCCTCCGATCTGGACCAGTCTGCTGGGAACACGCCGGGCCCAGCGTCGCGCGTCACATATAGCTCGGCAGCGGTCGTGGCTGTCGAGACATGCCTTCAGCCATTCGTCGGCCCGGCAAAGGCTCATTGTGCTTGATGTCGAATCCGATCCATCAACGGAACAGACCTCACCTTCAATGTCGAATTTGGCGTCAGCTCCTATACCGGGGATCTCGAGCTTACTATTGTTAGACTCTACCCAGGTCAGTACATGCATGCCCAAACTGAGTGATAGCTATGTCTACCTGGCTGTTTAAGAGGCAACATCGCTAGAGTCAGGGTTCTACTGGAAGGCCGGCCTTGAAACTCGACATTGTGGGCTCCGTACAGGTGGAATGGCCGCGTGACTATCCGATATCTAATGTCGACCTCGAGTTTGGCCTGCACATCTGCGGTGGATGGGCCCTCAGTGAAGAAAGTGTCCCACAAACGACAGCAGAGCTTGCACGTAACTGTCGACTTGAGAGACACCTTCTTGTGATGCGCATGCGTATCGTCCCATTCGCCTAGCGTCCTACGGGTGGCGAAGATGCCGATGCACTCGTTGCAGATGGGGTGGGGCGCGGGGAACTCGTCGACTGTGTAGAGGCGTATGTGGGCCATAGCGAGCGAATGCGGAATTGCTTGTGACCAGACTTTCACTGTGCTTGAGCGATCTCATTCTGAACAGAGATTTATCTCGAAGCACTCAGGTAGTAGCATAGCAACAGTAGAAACTTTTGAAACGCACGGTCCCTGAGCGTGTGGAGGTTTAGTATATGTTAGTAATATAACACAAATTTTCCATATATTTATATTTATATTAAGTATTTTAATATTACAGCTAACTGGGTTTCATTACAGAAAGCTTTGAACTAGACATTTTGCTAGTTTAAATAATTTATTAAATAATAAATTTAACCATTTTACCTAAAAAATTTATAATAAAATAGTAAAACAATTTAAAATAATAGAATATCCTTTAATTCTATTATTTATAATAATAAGGGCATATTTATTAATATTAACTAATAATTTAGTTTCTATTTTTCTTTCAATAGAGCTACAAAGTTATGGTTTATATTTACTTAGTACTATATATAAAAATTAAGTTAAAAATAAAATTAGTATAGTATATAAAACTAAGGTAAAATCTATTATAATAAAAAATTAAATAGTATAATTATAATATAAAAATAATATTAACTAAGCTTTATATAGTTAAATAATATAATTAAAACCCCTATTTAATACTTATTTTTTATAATTAAGTTATGTATAGTAATAAGAAAGCTATTATTAAAGTAAATAATCCTGTAGCTTCTAAAAATATAAATCCTAAGATAGTGTATGAGAATAATTAATTTCTTAATAAAGGATTTCTTATAATATTTAAAATTAAAGTACTAAAAATAATTCTAATTCCTATTCCTATTTTTATTAAATTTATTATAGTTAAACCTATTTTTATTATTTTTATAGCTTATATTATATTTTTTTTTAATTATATAACTATATAGTCTAAAATAACTAAATATTTTATAAAATATCTTAGTATAAAAGTATAAAATTATTAATTAGTATTTTTTATTAGTATAGTTTACTAATAAATAAAAAATATAGTAAGATAATACTTAAGCTATATTAAGAAAGATTGGACTCGAACTAATATTTTGTCCTATTATAGAAAAGTACTTTGCCTATTAAGTTACTTTCTTTTTTTAATAAAAAAAAGCTTTTTTATAAAAAATTTAAATTTTAAAAATTCTTGTAAAATTTGATAGTATATTAGTAATAACTATATTATTAAAATTAATTAATAATTTTTAGAATCTAGTTTATAATATAAAAATTTTATTATAATTATTATAAAGATAATTATTATTATAATATACTAATTTTCTTTTATAGTTTATATTAATTATCTTTTATTAGAAGATAAACTAGATATTAAATTTTTAATTTAAGTTATAGTAGGGACTAAAACTATAAAATATATAAAGAATAAACTAGTACTTATTTAATTTAATTTTATATATAGATTTTCTATATATTTAAAATCTAATACTAATAATATTAAGAAATTAGTTATAAATATAAAAAATATTACTTTACTTAAAAATCTAAATTATAAATTTCTTAGTTTACTTAAATCTATAATAAGTAATATTAATATAATTATTAATATATTAAATATTGTAATAACTTCTAATAATTTATTAGAGATAGATCTTAATATAATATAGAATAGTAGTAGATATTACTTTAGAACTATAGCAGGAGGAGTTTATATAGGATTAGCTATAATATAATTTTTACTATCTCCTAATATATTTAGTATAAAGAATATAAAATTACTTAAAATAAATATAGTAATAAATATTATTATTAAATCTTTAAATAAGTAATAAGGAGTAAAAGTAATTCTATTATAGTTAGCTAATATACCTAGTAGATTACTTAATCCTACTAAATTATAAAGAGCTATTAAATATATTAATACTAATATAGCTAATATAAATAGTAATATAAAATATAAAGAGAAGAATCTATTTAATATAGTATTATTAATAGAGAATCCTCCTTAAACAAATTTAACAATATCTTACCCTATTTATAATATTATATTAATAAGATTAATAATAACTATAGTACCTTATAATAATATTTAACTATATAGAAAAATATACCCTAAAAAAGTAGTACCTATTATTAATATAAGTATTACTATATTTATAACTTAAGTTAATATTCTAGGACTTTTATAAGATCTATAATATAAACCTCTTTTTATATATAAATATACTAAGAAGAAAAAAGCTAATGCTATATTACTATATAAATAATAAACTAATTATTTATTATTTATATCTTTTATAATATATTTTATAGAATTAAAAGCCTCTACTATACTAGGGTTATAGTATATAGTAAAAGTTATATTTATTATAATTTAAATTTCTAAATATACTATTAATAAAAAACTATAATTTTAATAATAACTTATATTAGTAGGTTGGGGAGAATTAACTAAATATAAATTAAATAATATTAATAAAGATTTATATTTTAATACTCTTATTTTTTTTATTTTATTTTAAATAATTAAATAAATATAAATATACCTATTATTTTTATATAAACTAATATTTAAAATTAAATATTATATATTTATATTTTATTATATAAAGATTTTTAAGATTATAGAGAAATTAAACCTTAAGCTAAAGATTTATAATCTAAGTATAGACTATCTATAATATAATCTTTTAAGAAATTATATTATTTATCTAAATAATTAAAATTTTTAGGTTTTTATATTAAAACTTTAGTTTATCTACTTTCTATTTTTAAAGTACTTTTATTTAATTTAAAAATAAATCTTACTATAATAACAGCTATAAAGATTAATACTATTACTAATCTATATATACTATTTTCATATTTACTAACTACAAATAGATATATTATAATAATTTCTAAATCTAATAAAAGATAAATTAAAGTAAATATAAAAAATTTTACTCTAAATTGTATTCTATTTTAACCTAAGAAACTATAAAATCTATATTTAAAAATACTATATTTTTCTTAATAAGGATTATGAGGTGTAAATATAAAATTTAATAGTAAGAAAATTAATAATAATATTGTTATAAATATAAATAAAAAAGTTATACTACTTATTTAATTATTAAATAATATTTGTATTAATATAGTACTTATACTTAATTATTTATTATTTATAAAAATAAATAATAATATTACTAATATAATAGTTAAGATTGTAAAAGTAATTAAATTACCTAGTATTATTATTAGTTTATTACCTATTAAAACTTCTTTAAGTTTTTTACTATCTTTATTTTTAATAAACCTAATTATATCTTAGGCTATATTTAAAGTATTAGTATAAATTTAGTTAGGATAATAAAAAAAAGTTTCTTTTATAATATTTAAATAGTAAACTCTACTTATTATACTTATAAATATTATAATTAAAATTATAAATATATATCCTTTATCTAAGGTAGTACTTAAT